TTCACAAAACCCCCAAGTTCTCAGTAGATGAACAATGGTGGAAAACTCACTGAGACTTGATTAATTACTGTTGTATAACCATAACCATTGTAATACGAAATGTGTCCATTGTCAACTGAAACTGTATTATTGTTCCATTGCTGTATCTATGACTACCTGAGCTGTAACCCCCCTTAACCAGCCACGTTTCACTTCTTTAATATGCTTACACAAAGCCTATAAAAGGTAACTCACACTCTCACCTGGGCTGCTGTCTCTCAGAGCAGCAGCCCCTGCAGCAGGTAAAATAAATTACCAATTAATTAACCTAAGTGGGAGTCTGAGTCTATTTTTCCAGGTCCCCTAAGTTATTTCAATTCCTCAAGGCAAAACAAAAAAAAAAAGCTTTATATTAACAGAAATTTCCTATGGTCCTTATTTGCCTTTTTCTTTTTTTTGACACAGTCTCACTTTGTTGCCCTTAGTAGAGTGCCATGGCATCATAGCTCACAGCAACCTCAAACACCTGGGCTCAAGCAATTCTCTTGCCTCCGCCTCCCAAGTAGCTGGGACTATAGGCCACAACGCCCGGCTATTTTTTTAAGAGATGGGGGTCATGCTCTTGCTTCAGGCTGGTCTCGAACCGGTGAGCTCAGGCAATCCACCCACCTCAGCCTCCCAAAGGGCTAGGATTACAAGCTTGAGCCACTGCACCCAGGCCCCCCTTATTTGCTTCTAATTTATAATAAACTCTTCTGACCACAGCTTATTAAAGGCTATTAAGATTTAAAGAACAATTTCCTGTGTACATAAGGTGCACCTTTCAAACAGGTCTTGCCATTGTGACTGATGAAAAAACCTGGCATTCAGAATTTTGGTACTATAAAAAAGGAAATGTGGTATCTAGAAATTGCAAGTCTACGTAAAAAATGGAGTGCAATTTATCAAAATGGGATTTGGGGGAATGAGACAGAAATATTAAAATAGAACTTCGAATTCTAGAAAACTGAACATGTAATAAATGCCGTATCACCATTAAAAAATCAGCATATGGTATGTTAGCTATAGAAGTTAAATCTGCAGATGACACAGATACTATTCATCTATTTCTGTGAATTCCTCCTAAAAAATTTACTAATAAAGAATATTTCAAAAGGAAAGCAGGGAAAAATGAAGCAGGATTTTCATAACTAAAACTACTTAAAATGAAAACATTTGCAAATGTAATTGCGGAAAAAAGTTATTTTATAATTCCTTCTTTTTCTTTAAAGGCATTTTATTTCTTCAAGCAGTGCACTAAGAATTAGTACTGCAGGCCTTACCATTGTGACTGATGAAAAAATATGCTTCCAGAGTCAGCCCTTGCAACCCCAAATTGGTTCCATATGAGTGATTTTAAAGTGGGCATTAGCATTCTTCCTGAAACAAGACTGTATACCTTTCAGAACATTCCCATTTAACCTTGTGAGCTCACTTCTACAGAAACAATAAACTTTATTCATTAGCTGCTGGGGGAAATCAGTTTAATGTAAGGAATTAATTAAGTCAGGCTGACAGAAGCCAATATCTCAAACAAAATCAAAATTTATTTAAAGAATTAAGTATATAGGTGTATTACAAACAACTAATGGCTTTTCTAAGCTCCAAAAGTATTCATCTCAAAAGCATTTACTTTTAAGATTACCTCATTTTTCAGCTTTGTTATGATTGAGATTCTTAAGGTCATCTAAGAAAGTCTTTCTGACAAAACAGACCTCCTTCAATCAAGGTCACAATTTGAAACATTACACAATAACAGGGTTTAATATATGGGAAGAAAAGTAGAAGACTGAGAACAAGGTATCACAAGGCTCTATTTGTGTTTTCAGAATCAGAAAAATATAAATGTAACATAATCATTTGAACCCTCATATTAATTTGAAATTAGTCAGAAAGATTCAGAAAAATATAATTATGGGCCAACACTGTTCTAATGCCAGGAAGAACACTGGCAGTTACCTAAATGCAACCTCTCCCAGCAATTCTGAAAGCCTGCAACGCAGCCTCTGTAATCCCAGGGACTGGTTATCTAGTTTCTGGGTACTCCACAGAATTGAAGCCAGATAGCAAAACTTTATTTTTTTGAGAAGATAAACCCTTAATTACAAAGATGCAGGAAGGAAGTATACAACTGCTCACTCACTATGGCTGTAGTATTCAAACACAATCACTCAGATAATACAACCTGAGAGAAAAGACACATGAGCCGGCAAAGCTTCCATAATTCACACTTTCAGTTAACCAATTTAATGGTGCTTCTTTCTAAAGATGCATACTCATCTAAAAAAAAAAAAAATCAGTCAAGTGAAAGAAGACCTGCCTGAGATCTACCTAGCATGCGAAAACCAAGGCTTACTGTTTCCAGAGTCCTGGGTGACCAAACATGACGTATGATGCTGTAAGCACAGAGCACCCCAACAGCCGGAAGATTCTAAGTTCAACCTCTTTTCCTCCCTTTTATTTACAGAGTAATTTAAAACATACTTTTCACTTCTACTGTTTCAATTATTTTACTTTGTGAATTGCTGAAGATTTTTGTGAATCGTCAAACAGCAAAAACAGAATGTTATTGCAGAGGTCTCTAAATAATAAAACTTCAACTGAAAGTAGTCCTTGAATAATTGAAATGTTACTTCATTAAGTTCTTTTAAAAAGAAAATTTCTTAGAAATCCATATACTTTATAGGCCTTTCTGTTGTCAAGTTTAAAAGATCAAAAAGTATAATGAAATCAACATTATTTTTAGCTTAAGAATTATTGGTGGTGCCAAATGAGAAGTTATTTTTTAAATTTAGCATCATAAATATCTTTGAAATTAATATATTAACAGAAATTCTCAGGACTAAGAAGATGGCTAAACTTCATTTAAGACCCCATGGTTGGCTCAGCGCCTGTAGCTCAACCAGCTAAGGCGCCAGCCACATACACCTAAGGTGGCGGGTTCGAATCCCCACCCCGGACGCGCCAAACAACAATGACGGCTGCAACCAAAAAATGGCCGGGCGTTGTGGTGGGCGCCTGTGGTCCCAGCTACTTGGGAGGCTGAGGCAGGAGACTCGCTTGAGCCCAGGAGTTGGAGGCTGCTGTGAGCTGTAATGCCACGGCACTGTACCCAGGGGGACAGCTTGAGGCTCTGTCTCAAAAAAAAAAAAAAAAAGACCCCGTGGTTAACACCAAAGCAATTTTAAGAATGTGAATAGGACAAAATGAATTTTTATATAATTATGAGCCAACACTGTTCTAATGCAATGGCTGTTCTACAGCAAAGAGAATTTTTAAAAATCAGATTTGTTAAGAAATTTTGAATGGAACTAAATTATTCTCACAAAACTTGAAAAGGGAATGGATTCTGCTTAGTTAAAAGCCAGTGAATCCTGGACACAGGTTTCCTGATGTTTATAGCAAACAGCATCCAGGAGCAGCTGCTTAGGAAGTACATGTAAGGCCAACGTCTAAGAGTTGCAACTAGGTGTACTTCACACATTGAATTTAATCTTGGTAGAAAAAAATTCAAATGTAATTTTTTAAGTAGAATCTCTTATTGCCTTTCTTCTTTGGTATTTTAACCATCAAAAATTTATTTTTAAAAAAAAGTATTTAAGAGCAGTGCCTGTGGCTCAAGGAGTAGGGCGCAGGCCCGATATGGGGGGGGGGAGTGGGTTCAAGCCCAGCCCAGGCCAAAAAAACTGCAAAAAACAAACAACAAAAAAAAAACCCCAAAGTATTTAAAGCAGCAGCATCTAGTTCTAGAGTAATTTGGTATATATGAAAAAATAAGAAATTACTTGATACATCTATAATACACAGACACACATATAAAAATTTTATTTTAATAATACTCTTTTTATCACTTCAATTTAAATCATTCCATTATGAAAAGTTCTTAACTGAAGAGACAATATTTCTTCAAAACTCTAAACAGAGTTTTATCAATTAAATTTACAGCAATACAGCCTTTAGAAATACATAATTCTTCATTTTACAATAATACTCCCCTTTAAAAATGTCATAATTTGTCACAGATTTAAAATACAAGGCACCTAATGCTATGAAAGGATAATACAGTTTATGTAGTGTAAGTGAATCAGATCGTTTCTCAAATATTTATTCTTTTTGAAGTCCTACCAAATTTGCATGAACATACTTGTTGCATAAATTAAACATTTTTCTGTGTAATTTTCAGTATTCTACAAAACTCAAAAATATAATCCGTACCTATCACAGGCAGCTTATTTTAGCATTTTTACCTGTCAGAAATACTGGTCTGTGAACACTTAAGCAATTTCTTAAAAATATTTTCATAATATAGTCCAGCATTTAACAAAGATGGTGAAAATAACGTCTCCAGACAGTTAGGATTCATTTCTTGATTAGTTCAAATGATTTCATCAACTGAATTCCTTGAGAGGTGGTAAGGCAGATTGGTCCTTTAGATGGACTATGAACTGGAACTTCCTATAATTGTAGTGATATGTACATAGCTACATAGCAAAGTACTTCATTATGAAAATGAAGAAAACAGATATGAGAAAAATATATTTTAGAGTTTCAAAGAACTGAAACTGTTATTTTTCAGACTAGGCACTGAAACATTTTTCTACAAAAACTTGCCAGAGATTGTCTCTTCGCTGCATAATGTTCCATTATCAAGCTAAAAACAAAACAAAAAAAAAAATACAGAAACATGATTAGAACATAATTTTCTATAGTTTATATTATAAAAAGCAAATTACCTTAATGTTGAAATATCTATCATATACTGAATGTATACTTAATAACTGGATACTCAAACTTGAAGCAAGTCTAAGAACTTAAGAAAGTGACTTCTATAGCCATGTCAAGGGCTGACAGATTATGTATCAGTAGTTAGTTTTACTCTGGGTATAGGCCATCATCACCCCTGCAGAGACAAAGACTCCTGCTCAGCCTGTTCTACTCTACACTACTCTGTTGTGATCCATCCTCGTTAGCCTTCACTATCTTCCCTTTATCCAGCTCTTCTAAAAATACCAAACTGGGTGGGCATGACGGCTCACACCTGTAATCCTAGCACTCTGGGAGGCCAAGATGGAATCCCTTGAGTTCAGTAGTTCCAGACCACCCAGAGCAAGAGGAAGACCCTAATTTTACTTAAAATTAAAAAAAATAAATTAGCCAGGCATTGTGGCGGGCACCTGTAGTCCCAGCTACTCTGGAGGCTGAGGGAAGAGGATCGTTTGAGCCCAAGAATTTGAGACTGCTGTGAGTAAGGGGACAGCAGAGCATTCTAGCCTGGGCAATAAAATGAGACTTTGTCCAAAAAAAAAGATTCAGGGCAGTGCCCATAGCTCACTGGGTAGGGTGCAGGCCACATACACCACGGCTGGTGGGTTTGAGCCTGGCCTAGGCCAGCTAAAACAACAATGACAACTGCAACAAAAAAAATAGCCGGGCATTGTGGCAAGTGCCTATAGTTCCAGCTACTTTAGAGGCTGAGGCAAGAGAATTGCTTAAACCCAAAAGTTGGAGGTTGCTGTGAGCTGTGATGCCACAGCACTCTGCTGAGGACCACATAATGAGACTCTGTCTCAAAAAAAAAAAAAAAGATTCCTAAAACTGAAAACTCAAGATACAAAAGTCATAAATATGATGATACTTAAAAACAGGAAGAATCAATCAAGAGTTTAAAATTATTTCTTCAGAGTGGGAAAAGAATGAAACCAGGGTACAGTGTGGGCAGGGCAGGGATATCTGCTTTGTACAAGAAGTCTAAGAGAACTGGCACTCAAACCATGTGTGCGTATAACCATCACAATATAAAACCAAATTAAAAACAACCTGCCAAAGAAAAATGCAAAAACTGGGACAATTAGCCTTAGGCTATAGGCAAATATACCAGGAAGATAATGAGGCCAGTCAGAGTATTAGGAGTTAACAGAAGTTGTACAATGTTCCAGGTGGGGAAGGGAAACCCAGTTGTAATAAGGAAACATTTCAACATAAATTGCCTAAAGATATCTCAAAAGAACGTGATCTGAATCTCTAGAATTCTAGTAATTTATTGTGATCTCTCATTCAAAATAATCATTTTTCTACCTACCAAAGATAATACATTATTGGATCTATTCCAGATACTCTTTCTGCAAAACACTAAGTATCATGCACTCTTCCCTCATATATGAAATATAAAAGACAGTATTTCTTAAAATTTTTTAAATTAAAACATGTTCCTGACACATTGCTAAGTGATAAAGCAGTCAGAGAATCAGGATATACATTGTGTCAAATAAAACACATGAACATACACTGGTGGGAGATACTGGATATACACCAAAATACTACATTTTCTCTTACTTTTACAATTAGAGGAAAAATATTTTTCTAAAGTATTTCATTAGATAAATGATGACCCTTAAAATTACTAAAAATAAGAGTTAAAGCTTACTGATCGTTTAACTTGAGTCAGGTACTATTGTAAATTCTTTAAGCTTGCCAAGTATTTCATACTTCCAATAACCTTAGAAAGGAGGTTCTATTGTGATTCCAATTCACAAACAAGTAAATTGAAGCCTAAGAAGGTTAAGAACCTTACATAAGACTACACGGCTAGCACACAGAAAAGCTGGAACTGGAACCCAGACACTTGACTCCAGAGGCTATTCCCCTTAGCCCATACGCTAAACTGTCTCTCAAACTAACTATGGAAATCAATCTTATGTTTAAATATTATAAGAATAAGAATCCAATTCAATACTAATACCAGCTGATATACACACCTGGGCTACACAGACAACAGCTAACTAGCTCCATCCTCCTGAGAAACACCGTGCATAGGAATGAGACTCTCACACTGTTCGCTGTCTTCTGGAACTCTTAAGAAAAAAAAAGCAACAGTTAAGATAAGCTTTACAGCTAAAAAGGGAAGCTTAAACATTGTCCGCTCCACTGGCTCAAGTTGTGAGGTCAGCATGCAAGGTAGTGGAGAACCAAAACTTTCCCAAGAAAATTATCCCAAATTCTTTTTATAGTAAAATGTAAGAAATCAAAAAAAGAAAATTTGAGGCAATACAATATGATAGCATTGCCTCAAATATGATATACATTGTCACAATGTATAATTATGTTCAAGTTAATGAAAATCTTCATTTAAATTCACTATGGCAAAACAGTAAACATTTCGGTTTTCTCTGTGAATCAAAACATTTTTTCTAAAAAGTACTTAGAAACGATCCTATTATCCAAAGGATTTGAACAAATTATTTCATTTTTATCTAAAATAACACACAGATTAATCATAATCTTTCAGTAATTCCTCATAAAAATCTCTAAAACCTCATCCAGCATGACATGAGTTTCAGTTTACTTAGCAAATATTTTTTTAAAAATCAGTATTGGAACAAATCTACCTCTGAATTCGATGTTTTCTGCATATAAAGGCAAAAATTCTTCTGATTCCCACCATCACAGGATCCCAATTATTATAGTGGCATAAGAGAGTTACAATAAAAAATGAAAAAAATACAGGGATAGCGCCTGCAAAAAATAACCAAGAAAACTGCACCTAAAAATAAACGGAGAAAAAAACAAGCCCAAATTACTAGGGTAATTTTCCTCTTTAACATAAATTTTCCATTTGTGAAAACAAGCAGGAACAAGTTAGGCACCAAGAAGACAACAGGAAACACGGACAATATATTATTATCAATAAGAACTGACAATGCCACTTACCTAGATTACCAACAAGATTACTTCTTATTTGGAAAATAAGCTAAAGGAAAACCCATTTCTCAGGCATAGCACACCAAGGGCAAAAATACCCACGTCGTCTATTCCTTCATGTGTACTGACTATTCTCAACTGGATCCCTCTCCCTCAGTTTCTAAAATCATCTTTGAAAATGCACACTTGGCTCGGCGCCTGTGGCTCAAGCGGCTAAGGCGCCAGCCACATACACCTAAGGTAGCAGGTTCGAATCCCCAGCCCGGGCCCGCCAAACAACAATGACAGCTGCAACCAAAAAATAGCCAGGCGTTGTGGCGAG